CATCTGCATCTCAGTACCTTGCCCTCTCTGAAAATAAAACTTGAGAGACTGAGTAAGTAAATTTCAGCTAGCGAGCTTGACAAAGCAAATGCTCTAAAGGCTGACACTGTTGACATGAGAAATCCATACTACACAGAACAGAAGATCTAGCTTTTCCAGTTCCACAAATCAAGTAATTTGGACTATTATCAAATTTGTTTCAGAAAACTTGTTTATTTGTAACCAAAGTAGTAGTGAAGACTACAGTTTCCAGCTTTATAAAGGAAAACAACTGTGATGTCTATTTTCTCTCATTTTCTCAATTCTCATTTTGCATCTCTAAATCCAAACTAAAAATGAGTACTAAAAGGAAGGCTAGGATTGAATCTTTAAAAACATGTTAAATGCAAAAGGTAGATGGCATTAGTGAGCACAGCATTTTTTCCTCACAGAGAAAAGACTACACTTTATTAATTTTAGCAACAAAGCAAATCAGCATGGAATTTTTTCCTCACAGAGAAAAGAAGACTATATTTTATTAATTTTAGCAACAAAGCAAATCAGCATGGAATTTTAATAACATTGACTGAAAGTATTCATTCCTCCTCCATGGTTTCTTCAGATAAATCCTCACAAGAGTTTTCGATTTCCTAGGAAAGCAGCGGCAGTCACCCAGATCACTGTCTCAGTGGCATTCCATTCACTTTCTGATGGTTCCTAGGCAATGTGTAAACACTGCCAGGATTTCATGCCTTTTCACATCTTCAAATTATTAAACACAGCTAAATACTATGACACCATCCAAATAAACATCCAATCTCACTTTCTGAAAGACTTCTTAGCCCAGAAGGCAGCCGTATGGCCATCAGGGCCTATGACTGATACAAGTCAGCAGCACTTCATGTCCTTTTAATTTGCCTGGGGTCAGTCTGTGACTGAGAAAGGTACCCAAGCGTCTGTCCATGAAACACATATAAGCAAACATGAAAATGCTACCTGAGTTAAAATATGATTGAAAGCAAGTTTCCCATTTCAGAGAAATACACAAAGTATAGCCTCCTATTAAGAAGAAACAAATCTTTAGGATTCCAATAAGCAAACAGGTAAGCACACCACCAGAAAGAGATCAATTTGGAAACAGCATTCCAAACTTTACTACTTAGGTATACTGTTCTTTCTGTTGGAGTTTTGTATTTTTTATTGACATAACTAAGACCAGTGGTCTGCATGGCTTGCTTTGATAAGCACTTCAAAGCTCACTGGTCTTATCCAGACATGCTGCCTTCCAACAGTAACTGATTTAGATCTTTAAATCCATAATCATTTTCATATCTCTTATACTACATACACCTCAAATTGAATTAATCATTAGATCATACAGAATGTCTTCAAATTTAATAAAATAAATAGAGCTGACAAATTAGTTTTATTTTGAGGATTCGGTAACTATATTCTACAGTAACTGTTTTGCATGAACTTCAAGTTCACAGGAACATCTTGTAAATTCAACAAGTGCAATAATATTATCTATGACCATCTTATGCCTCTTACAGGCACTCTGTAAACATCAGTTGGATAAATAAATGAATAAGCACAAGCATTAAGACCAAAAATAATGGGTTCATTATTATTATAGTCATTACAGAAGTGACTGTTCCCATATTATTATCATGACACTAGCACTACTACCACTACTACTACTACTACTATTACTATAGGCTTGCTTTTATGAAGTAAAGTGAAAGTTGGTAAACTCTGTTAAGAGCCAGATGGCAAGTACTTTAGGCTTTACTGGCCATATGGTCACTGTCACATCTACTCAAACCTGGACTTTTTTTTTTTCTCATTTAATGCTGTTTATTCCAACTGGGACCACAGAAGTTAAAAAAAAAAAAAATCACATGAAGTTGAAGTAGAATAAGAAATAACAAGCAACAATCAAGGTGAACTTTTTTCATCAAGTCTCAAATGACAGTTCTTTCACTGGTCACAAACAAAAAACAAAAATGGTCTTCACCCCATTTGGGAATAACTTTCTTAGAATGAACACTCCACTCCCCAAAAGTTATAAATTGGTGGACTTGGCTAAAATCAGTGAACCATATTTTGCTGTGCCAAAATTTGACAAGGTATAGATGGTACTCATTCTCCACACTGTCCATCACTCCTTACAGAGCAACATTCACTAACTTCTGTCACGTTACTAGCCTGGCCCATGCAAACCTTTCAATTTACATGCTGCATTCTACAGAGTAAGTGGTATCCATGGATGTGTCCCAAATGCAAACTTGTATTCGTAAGCATAACACAAAGGCAAGCCGGTGACTGCCAATTATTTGCCCTTCATCTAACACTAATAGCAATCAATACCTAATGAATTGTAAATACTCATTGACTGCCTGTTCTTTGCTGTATTCTGCAGTCTCCTTGGAGGCACTGTAGAGAGCAATAGATGAATAAAACATGCCAGAAGGGAACAAAGTGAAAAGGGACATGGTGAGTCATAGGAAAAGCAGCAGGAATCATACAGAACTGAAACAAACACACACACACACACACACTTCTGCCAGCTGTGTCTCAGTCTTCTATCTGCTGTCCCAATTCCTCCTTCACATCTCAGCAGAAGCTGAGGAGAGATTGTAACCATGGTAAGGATAAAACCTTGTTTAATCCCCACTTCTGCTAGAGGCTGCCCTAGAAAGGTAAACCCAAAAATATTACCTACCTCAGCAGAATGAATAGACAATGAATTGAATTCTCTGTAGCAAGGAAAATGAAAGGCTATAACTGCATGCAACCATATGGAGGGATCTCTAATACACTGTTGAGTGAGAAAAGCTTGACACAAAGAGTACAATCTGCAATGTATATCACAAACACATTCTCATCCTCACACTGAAAAGCAGGCAAAAATTAATCTATACTGCTTGAAGTCACAACAACAGTTAGCAATGGAGCAGGTAGAGTCCACAGTCCAGAAGGAGACATGAGGCTGTATTGGTAATGCTCCATTCTTAATCAGTTACTGATTACATAGGTGTGTTCAATTTGTAAAGTTCTATCAACTGTACTTTTACAATGTGTATATTCTGCATCTCTATTGCATTTCATCAGAAAATTTTAAAAACTGGGCCCTCCCTGGTGGTGCAAGGGGCTAAGTCTCAGCACTATGATGCTAGCCGCAGCCACTGAGTTCAAACCCCAGCCAGGGAGGTGACCCACATGGTGCAGCAGAGTTCTCCTGACCCACCCGCTGCTTCCCTCAGCAGTGTATCTCAGTAAATTCACCTATTCTGCTGCCCCATTCTTTCTCTGATGAACCCTTTCACCACTACCCACACCCCTGAACCTTTGGCCTACACCACTGTTCTTGTATGCATCATAAAATAATGCTTAACTTAAAATAATTGCTCTAACTCAAGTTCACAAACGTCTAAAAAGAAAAGTCTAGATAATCAGGTACCACTTGGGGGAAGATCACAACTAAAATGTAACTGAGATTAGGATGCAGAACAGTGTGCAGCTGCTTAACAGCCAACGTGTAGGAAGTGCAGAGTGGTAATACCCAATTGTGACACCAGCCACAGGGTATAATAACCTACAACTATACTAATAGCTGAACACAACTTAAAAGATTTCATGGAAAGTTGCAATTTAAGTATTCCAGTTATGGAGCTAGTAATCATTCTGAATCTCTCCAATACTGATTTTTATATAATAACCTCAACTTGGCAAAGCTACTCATACTCCTTTCAGAGTCTCCAACAAATTCAAATTAAAAAGTCAATTAAGACCTTTGATTACAATGGTTCAAAAAGACTGGCCTACTTGTGAATGTGGAAAAGGAAGAAGGCAAGAGCAGAAAGTAGACCCACTGACTTAACAATAAACCTCAGCACCGAGGAGGAGGCAGAAAGGTAGGTCACAGGGAAGGAAGAAAACACAGGAATCCTCACCTGCATAGAATTCCATTTCTTTACGTTCAGATATTTCTCATATTAAACAACTACACATTACAAATCTGTCCATTAAATAAATCACTGTCGAAGGTTTGTTGAAATCTGTCTTTACATCAGTTATGAAGGGAGCATAAATTCAAAATTATACCTTTTTGCAGTCACTACAGAAAAGAGCATAGAGTCTTTAAAAAACTAAAATTAGAAATACACATGAACCAGGAATTCCACTCTCCTTTGTATTTATTGTTAAGAATACAGAAATATTGGTATTTCTGTTCATTGCATTCACAACATCCAAGGCATGGAACGCCCTCAATGTCCATCAGTGGATGGCTATACAGAGAAGTGATGGAACAGATGCTCAATGAACATACTCAGCTTTTTAAAAAGATGAAATTTTGCCTTTGAAAACACCATGAATAGAACTTGAGGTAATTATGCTAAGCAAAATAAGTCAGGAAGTAAAATACAAATGCCAGCTTTTCCTCATGTGTGGAATATAAACAATCAAAGCAAACAAACTAACAAAGCACAACAAAAATAACTCTTTAGACTAAGGAAAAAGTGATGGTTAACAGAGAGGAAGGGAAAAGAAGATGGAGGAATGGAGATAAAGTAGGTAATGGTGAATGACACTAGAACTATAGTGATGCAATACGGTATACGGACATAGAAGGAAGTTTCACACTCCTGAAACTTATATTGTCTTGTAAACCAATGAACACTTTCTAAAAAACAAAAGTACACCTTTCAATAGGAAACTATAATTGTTTAACTAAATGATTCTATGTTATATAGGTTATGAGCATTCTAAAATGCCTCTATGGGGAGAATATGCTTTTCTTATGAACAAATTCTCTAAGAATTTAGGTAAAATGTCATGATGTCTACAACTTATTTTCACATCCCTCAGCAGCAAAATCTACAAACCTATACACACAATGTGGCAAAAGGCTAACAATGATTAAATGTAGGTGGTGAAGGCACAGGAATTCACTGTTTATTCTTTATCATTTTCTATATATTTAAAAAACTCAAAGTCACATAGAAATCTTTACTTACCATTCAAGTGGAAGGCTGTCTTCTTTCTCCTAATCAAAAATGAATGGCTGAATAAATGCCAAAATGTACATTCAGGAACCATTCATGCTGTCCTTGCCCTGCAAAAATAAGCAATGCAACAGGTTATCACCAAAGATTTTTATTAAGCTAATGCTATTTCAGTTACGCAAATACTCTTACTAACTGGCAAGCCTCTGGGTTTAAATATACTGTTGAATCTCTTTGTTTATAAGCAGAGAAAAAAGTAAAAAGCAAGAAAATTATCCCATCACATATTAAATGTTCCAGAAAGTTCTGCAGCAGAATTCCTCAGTAAGTTTCTTTTAACTCACACTGACGTCAAGACAGTAACATAATCCAAACTTCACTTAAATAAAAAGTGGAGTGTCTAAGGGCCTGAGTTTCACTGACTTTGAATCTCTTAGAGGATATTTAGAAGGCATCCACGTACTCTCTTAGGACCAGACAGAATTGTTCCGGTCCCTGTGGGGTCATTACAGTTAAAGGTCTGCTCACCCCATCTACTACCTCCTTCAACCTACAGTACATATCCAAGCGCAAAGCAGCACACAGAGTGCAAGTCATAATCATACTGCTGCCCCACCACACCTTACATCTTGGTCTTATCCATGACATTTGATCTTCGCACAGCCTTGTGAAACTTAAGCAGAATTAGCTAATTTCATTTTCCAAGGAGGCAGGTAAATGTCAGAGGCAACAAATGACAAGGAGATTCAACTACAAAGCACTAGAGATGAAACCCCTCCTGAAGTCTCCTGACCCCAGCTCAGGACTCCAGGTCATCATATGAGCTGCACCCTCTCTCCGCAGACAGCTTACATGATGCAGTCCTATAAACCAAACTTGATGCAATGGAGGAAGGAGGTGGAATGCTACTAGTTCCCTGAGAATATATATTAATAATCACTCTTAATAGTGACACTAATATTGTAATTATGATTACCAATTATAATTACTATTAGCAATTATACTTCCCTTTGAAATAAATCTCAAAGTATTTTCCACTTCCTTGCTCTCTCTCTCCATACACACACACACACACACACAAAGTCCTTGCTCCAGAGAATTCTCTTGAAAGTAAGGAATCCCAGAGCTCTACCAGATTTTGGTGGAGGCAGAATGAAGCATAGCACAATTAATCCCATCTCCACACCACACATCCCGGTAAGTTACTTAGGTTCCCCTCTTCAGTGCCCATGCACCCAGTCCCCCACCACGTGGGCAACCCTATCAGGCAGGCTGGTGCCCCCAAGTTACTACCTTTTATACCACTGACTTTAACCCCATACTGACCAGCAGGTGACACATTCAGCATCTGCAGTCATTTTCATTTAAATGGATGCTTGAATCATCACTAAAAAAAAGTGCCAAAAATTTGGTCTCTAAAAATGTTTCCCATGAGATGTACAATGTTAAAACATGCTTAGCTATGGTAGCCAGTCTGCAACCAGACCCCTTTTTCAAGCATTCATGTTCTCCCAGAATAGGGCTGGCATAGGTAACAACACAACATTGGGGAAATGGGGAAATGACTTCAAGGGCTGTGTCAGAAGAGTGGCCATGGCCATCTCCCCTCCCTGTCATGAGAGGAGAGTGGGCAGCAGCACATTCAGCAACACTGTTACAGAAAAGCCTACTTGGCAAGGAACTGAGGCCTCACATCAGCTTTCACAGGAAACCCTCTCATAAGCAGACGGCCAGGTTGAGCCAGGCTCTCGGTGACACCACTTCCATTGACATCTTGATTGTGACCCCATGAGACAATCCAGTTACACCCAGTCACACTGCTCTGGGTTTCCTGACCCACACAGAACTGAGTGAGGCAGTAAATGCTTATCAGGGTTTTAAGGTGCTCTAAGTTTTGAAGTAATCTGTCATATGGTGGTAACTGATACAATAACATGTCCACTTGAATAATGAAATAAATGTTATGTACTTAAAACGGTTAGATTTCTGTCTTTTTGGTTGCCGAAAAAGACTGCGCCTCCCCCTCCATTTCCTACCACCACCTATGCTAATCACTAGGTTAAATTTTGTGTCAATTATTATTGCTTTCTTCCTCTTCCTGACTTTACCACTTATATATTCTCAACTTGTTGTTGCATTTTGCCTGTTTTAAGTCTAATATAAATAAAACCAGACTATATGTATTTGCCTAAGCTATGTCTCTTAACCTTTTGATTTTGAGATATAACTATATGTTGACTCACGTGGCTGTGGTTGATCTTTCATCATTGTATAATTCTCATTGTTGGAACAAACTGGCAATTTACTCCTCTATTCTACTGCTGAGGATCATCTGGGAATTGTTTTCATTTTTTGCTATCACGAATAATGATGCCATTTACATTCTAGTGCATGTCCCCTAGTGCACTGCAAGAGTTTCTCCAGGGTATTCACCTAGAAAAGGAGAGCTGGCCTTCGGATTGCACATGTTCAACTCTTCCATCTAATGCCAAATTGTTTTCCAAAGTGGTTGTGTACAATTGACTCTTTAGTTGCCTTTCCAGTTTCTCTCCAAGTAAGAGGCATGCTTGTTTTGCTAATTACCAGCAAAGCTTTCAACCAACAAAAGGGAAAGCTTTTCCTATTTGCAGCATTACTACTGCAAATAAATAGTACTCCAAAGTAGTGACCCAGACAGCTGGAACATATTAGTCACAGGACATCAGTACAGACTTGGAAATAATGCTGCAGACCCAGACAGCCCCAAACACTGAATGTAAGTCAAACTGGATTTCTAGACCTATGTTAAATTCATGGACCATTCTCCTCCGGGTGAACTCACATCTATTGTCCCATCTTATTGCTGTCCTCTTAAAAAGGAAAAAAAAAATTATGCCACATGCATCCCACCAAATTCAAGACTAAAGTAAGAGAGCCACACTGATTCTAAGAAACTGGTTATCTGATTCTTAGAGGTTTGGTTTTGGTTTTTTTTTTTTTTTCACCTATGAAATTATAATTCACTATATATGAATTTATGTGTACTAATTCTACAAAAAACACATATTCTCTATACAAAATGATGCATACTTTTAAGAGAATTTTTAGTTCATTAAACAACAGTAATTTTTATGAAAAGTTAACCTGTATGTCTATTAAAAACACAGTATCAAATATTTCTACTGGCATTAAATACTAAATATAAAAAATTCTTTCAATTTGGGAAGAAATAAAATTTTAAATTTCAAGGCTCATATCATATTATTGAAAGAAATAACAGGAATCAGTGACCAAACTGAGATCATTTCAAGTCGACCTCTCAATAGTTCACATTTATCCCTTTACAACCATTTATCCTTTTGAGAGGAATTATTATTACAACCATTTTACAGATGGAGAAAACAAGCAAAAAAAAAATTGAGTTATGGTCACTCACACAGCTGACAAGTACTAGAAGGATTTGAACTCAGGCAGTTTACTCCTGGAGCCATATTCTTTTTTTTTTTTTCTTTAAAGATTTGTTTATTTATATACACAAGAGCTGGGGTGCAGGCCAACTGTGGGGAGGTGGGGCAGGTTAGAGGATTCACCAGAGTCACTTCTCTGGGCAACTTCATCAGTCCCCCCCAGCCAGTCAGAGATGGCCTTGCAATAGAGACAATATAGTAGCTACCAGCTCTTGGACATCTAAAATATGCCAAACATATGCTAAATGTACTTTTGTAGTAATCCTAATCCTCCCCACCTCTTTATCAAGCACAGATTGTTCCCATTTTATAAAGAAATGTCAACTCTAGGGGATTAGGAGCTTGGCCAATAATGGAGATACGTCCTGAAATTTGTCTCTAAATTCAAAGTTCATCCTCCTCCCACAATGGATCCTTTGAACAAAATTAAACTACCTAATCCCAGGGCATATGGTACGCAAGTGTTGACGTTAGGTCCCAGAAACAGCCCGCACGAAGGAAACACATGCCCTGTTGATAGCAGTGAGCTGCTCAAGGTGGGCAGCAGGCAGCAGCCGCCAGGCCTCCAGGCCACGCACACTGAGGCAGAGTGGATGCCAAAAAGACAAAGACTGGAGTCAGGAAAACAGGCTGCACAAAGCCTCCTTACTGCATGACACAGGGCAGATCAAATGGCCTCTCCACACAATGTTTTCATCTGTGAAATGGGGACATCATATACTTCAAATGGTTGCTGTAAGGACTAAACAGACTAACACATACAGACCCGGCACACAGTAAGAGCAGATGCATGCTTTAACAACGAAAGGGTTACATGAAAGCATGTTCTTAGATATTTCAGAGGAAAAAGCAGAGAGCTAATTTTTTTTTAAAGATTTATTTATTCGTGCATACAGAACTGGGGTACAGGCCAGAAGCTCAGGGGCAGCGAGAGGCTACACCAGAGACAGAGTGGGGGGCAGAACAGGCAGATCGACGAAGTACACTGCTGAGGGGAGCAGCGGGCGGGTCAGGAGAGGTCTGCCACACCATGTGGTCACCTCCGGGGCAGGCGGAGATCGAACTCATGCTGAAGTGGCTTTAGCTTCTTAGTGCTGTGCTTTAACCCGCTGCGCCACCAGGGAGGGCCACAGAGAGCTAATTTTAACCAAACCCTTGCATCCATTTTGAAAGTCTCAATATTCCATAAAGAATAACTTGATAATTTGTAAAAGGTCATCTTTGTAGCCTGAATTTTTTCACTAATATTATGATTCCTCTTTCTGTCCTACAGTAAATAGAATAACCTTCCCATCCAGATCAATTCTTCATGGTATCAATAAAAGTTAAGATATTCTTTACATAAACACTGGAGCTGGATGAACACTTGGCTCGTTTAATTCTTCTGTTACTGACTTTGGAATATCTTAAACATGCGTTTCCAACAGCAACATTTCTTCAAAGTATTTTCAGTTTCCTGGAAATCATCCCAAATTGTCTGGCCAATAAAAAAATTTGATCAAACAATTAATCAATAACAAACCAAAAAATCTTAGCCAACATGACACACACACAAAATTGCGCCTTAGTATCCCATGCCACATCTACAGTATAAAATGTGAACCTGAGAAAAGAACGCAGCTGTCACCATGGTTTCTAGTCCTGTTTGCAATTAGGGAGGGGAT